CCCTCCTTTTATTAAAAGTTTTTGCTACACTCCAACTCTGTGCTTGCGAGAGGGGAAGTATTGCCTCTTAGAGGTGCACACGGGTGGTGTGTAATTGTCCCAGGTCACTGGGTGGGGGCTCCAGTCGGTTTTGTGTTGTATTGTTGAAAAGGAACCCGTAGATACTGAACCCGGCCCCTGCTGCTGCTGGCTGCACCTGGCAGAAGGGTTACATAAGGACACAAGTAGAACTAATCTGCACATCTCCGTAGCTTGCCTCACCTCCAGGCCAGACTCAGCCAGATCGAACCCGCTGGCTTCCTTGCCTTCAGCAGTTATCGCCGAAAGTGAAACCCAGCAGCCGCGGCCACGGAAGGCTGAGATAGCAGCGCACCTCCCCTCTGTGACGTTCCGCCCATGCCCAGGGGCTGCTAAACCGGGGGATTTAATGCACGAGCCTTTGGCATCTAGAGGCCGGGGTTGCAAAGGAGCTGGGCCACCTTGCCACTGGGATGAGCTTCCCGATATTGGCCCTGCACCAGCAGATATGAGTTCCTTTCCTAGCACAAGGGGCAGGGTATGCCCATGATATGCTGGGACTGAACTAGCAGGGGCTGCTGCAGGTCAGGGTTGGGGTACGTCGGCTGAGCTGCGTGTGAGGAGTCCAGGGTTGGAATAGCAGGGGGATGCAGGTCGGGATTGGTGCATTGGCAGCATTATCTTCTGCAAGCCAGCATGGGTCCTGCCCGCACTGTGCCTAGTTCCAACTAGTTCTTTCAGTCCCTCACTTTCAGAGCCAGCCGCATTCCATCCCTGCCTCAAGGACGGAGTTTATTTCTAAGGTCAAGTTCCCTCTCGCTGCGGTTAATTCTCTTACGACGGAATCTGGTTCAGACAAGCAGTGCCCTCGCGTTACGCACGCACTCCCCTGAACCTTGCAACCCGAGACTGGCACCGCAAGCAGCCAGGTAGGGGGAGGGTGGCAAAGTGGCTGCAGCAGGCAGGTGGGCGAGCTGGGGTCGAGAGGAATTCCTGCCTCGGAACTGCAGCTTTCTAGCTCCTTTGGGGGGTGGTCTGTTATTGGATCGAGCAGTCCCCCGCTCCATACCCCTCAGGGCAATGTGTTACAAGGGAGCAAGCCAGTGGGGATGCAGGAGTGACTTTAACACGTGCTGATAACAACGCCTAACTGTCATATAGTGCTTTTCCGCCATAGATCTCTAAGCCCTTGATCAAGGTGGTCAATATCATTATCCCCATTTTACAGATGGGGTAACTGAGGCACAGAGGGGGGGGGAAGTGACTTGCCCAAGGTCACCCGCAGGCTGGTGGCAGAGGTGGGACTGGAACCCATGTCTCCTGTGTCCCAAGATCCTAGGTCGTAGTTTCAACACTTTATCTAGTTGAGGAAAACCCTAGGCTGCCCCTAAACTATAACTTAACCATGATAAAGCCTTGTCTACACTGGCCTGTTCTAGCATGTTAGTTAACACCTGCTGCCATCACACCTTTTATCCCTTGTAAGAGAAAAATTTGAGTAGGCCTAAAACTCTGGTCAAAATAACTGTGTATGTGGTCAAAAGGCAGGAGGAGAGAGTGAGGAAAATTACAACTTTGACACAATTGCAACAGCAAATCTTGAGAAATACAAGCTTCTGTGTTAACCGCAAAAGTGCAACCTGTTAATCATACAGGAAAAGCTTGTGCTGCTATATTCCTAATAAGGTGGTGTTTTTCTGTATTGGGGAAAAATATTATTAATGGGGAAGCGTGTTGAACTAGATGTGGTTTTTAGCTCTATAAGCTTCTGTATTCCTTTGTTAAACAGAGCAGCTGGGCTCGCTGCCTCTCCCTGCACGCTTGTAATAAAGGAACCTCAGGCTGTTCTGATCCAAACACAACGCGTGGTTAATTGTCCACAACACCCTGGACACAGGCTAAAAGGCTGGGTGCAAATGGGGACCAGTGTTATCCACACCAATCCCATTCACAGCTGCCTTGGTGATAGGGTGACCAGACAGCAAGTGTGAAAAATCGGGACGGGGGTAGGGGGTAATAGGATCCTGTATAAGAAAAAGACCCTGTCAAGGCTCCTTCCCCACTCTGAACTTTAGGGTATAGATGTGGGGGCCTGCATGAAAACTTCTAAGCTTAACTACCAGCTTAGATCTGGTCCGCTGCCACCACTCCCATTGTGCTAATTCCCTTCCCTGGGTAGCCTTGAGAGACTCTTCAGCAATTCCCTGGTGAATACAGATCCAAACCCCTTGGATCTTAACACAAGGAGAAATTAACCATCCCCCCTCCTTTCTCCCACCAACTCCTGGTGGATCAAGATCCAACCCCCTAGGATCTAAAAACAAGGAAAAATCAACCAGGTTCTTAAAAAGAAGGCTTTTAATTAAAGAAAAAGGTAAAAATCATCTCTGTAAAATCAGGATGGAAAATAACTTTACAGGGTAATCAAACGTAAAGAGCCCAGAGGACCCCGCTCTAGCCTTGGGTTCAAAGTTACAGCAAACAGAGGTAAACACCCTAGTAAAAGGTACATTTACAAGTTGAGAAAACAAAGATAAAACTAACACGCCTTGCCTGGCTGTTTACTTACAAGTTTGAAATATGAGAGACTTGTTCAGAAAGATTTGGAGAGCATGGATTGATGTCTGGTCCCTCTCAGTCCCAAGAGAGAACTCTCCCCAAAAACAAAGAGCACAAACAAAAGCCTTCCCCCCACCAAGATTTGAAAGTATCTTGTCCCCTTATTGGTCCTTTGGGTGAGGTGTCAGCCAGGTTACCTGAGCTTCTTAACCCTTTACAGGTAAAAGGATTTTGGAGTCTCTGGCCAGGAGGGATTTTATAGTATTGTACACAGGAGGGCTGTTACCCTTCCCTTTATAGTTATTATGACAGACCCAAAAATCGGGACTGTCCCTATAAAATTGGGACATCTGGTCACTCTACTTGGTGATCATCTGCTGCTTAGCCGGTGGCATGGATTAACAGTCCGTAAGGGTGGTCTAGTGAAAGATGCCGAAGGGACATGTAAGGGAGGAAGTTACCTGCTGATACCTGAGCCTAAGGGACGCTAGGAGCCAGATTTTCAAAAGTTCTTGGCACTCAATGTCCTGAGTGTTCTTGAAAATCTGTCCCCTTACGTGGAGCCTCAGTAGGATCTGAGCTGCTCTGAAAATCAGTCCATGTAATTTACAATGAGCAGCTGGAAGAAGTTAAAACGTATGAGCCCTCCCTTCCACATCCCCTCTGACCTGAGCGCCCACGCTCAGCTCACGCCCCTCAGCCTGACAAGAGCTATAGGCGCTCCTCGCTGTAATCGTGAGTGGTGTCTCGTTAAGGGCAGGTCGCTTTGTCGCTCACACGCCCTGACATCTCTTCTGGGCCAGCTGGTCTGCTTGCCTGTCTGTTTCATCTGGGGGTCGCGAGTGTTTTACCAAGGTGGGTCAATAAATACGATATCCCTGTTTCACAAAGGGGGGGGAAACTGAGCCACAGAGCAAGGAAGTGACTTGCCCAAGGTGACGCAGTGAGTCAGTGGCAGAGACGTAGAACCTAGGCATCTGGACTTCCAGTCCCCTGCTCTAGCAACTAAACTTGGCTGTGTCCCCACTTGGGGACTGGGCTACCCCCATCTTTGCAGGGGCCCTATGCAGGTGGGGACACCCCGTTCGGTTGTTGGTACATCCGAAGAAGTGAGGTTTTTACCCACGAAAGCTTATGCCCAAATAAATCTGTTAGTCTTTAAGGCGCCACCAGACTCCTTGTTGTTTTTCTAGATACAGACTAACACGGCTACCCCCTGATACTTCTCACAAGGGGCTTCTTTCTTAACCAGGCCCTGGTCTACACTTTACAATCTTGATGGACCTATCTGCATCGCTCGAGGTGTAAAACATGTGAACCCCTTGTGTATACTTGCTACCACGGCTCAGGAGGGGTGTGGATTATTTACACTGACTGAAAAAACCCTTCCATCAATATAGGAAGTGTCTACGCTCTGGGGGCTACAGCAGCGTATCTGTAGCTGTTCCCTGGTAGCGCCCGGAGCGCACATATGCCCTGGGACCACTGCAGGATCCTTAGACTTGGTGGGATTCGATTTTTCCTGGTAAATGTCGATAAACATTGATTTCACTGCCCACACCCAAACTGACAAATAATATCAAAATCTACAGACTGGCACAGTCAGAGAAATGCTGCTGGAGAATTTAGAGTCCCAATCCCGCCATGTAGACGTCTGACCTAGGCTTGTTACAAAAGGACCAGCAACTGAACAGTAAAACCAGGGCGGATTTGTCGCTTTAGGGGTATTTGCTGAGTGTATTTTGAGGTGTGATGCCGACCCTTTGTGTTTGAGCGGTTTCTAAAGCTGTCTCATTCGGAGCCGTTCACCAGTTGTCTGAGCCCCTCCATGATTTCCCATGGCTATGGGAATTTAAATCAATAAAAAGAGGAAAAAATGCTTAAAAATAAACACCGATATTAGCCATTGAAATTCTGCCAACCCTATGAATTCTCTAGGAACAAGCTGCAGCACAGTCACACCCTGGGGCGTTATTTCGGGTGCCAGGGGATTGCGATAGGGTAGGGCAGTGTAGCTTTCGGGGAATGTGCCTGGTATGGAGCGGGTACACCGTATGGGGTTGGTTCTCATGAGGCTGAGGCTGGGCGAGATGGAGCGTGGTTCTGATCTGGCCTGGTGATTGCTCTGTGTCTGTGCCGGCGAGGGTTAATTGGGGTGCGGAGAGGGGAAGAAAGAGTGCTGGGATTGGGACATAAATCTCCCTGCCCAGCTACCATCCCCTAAACCAAGCCGAAGCTCCCCGAAACCCCATCCTTTGTCTGGGAATGTGGAGCCCTGCTCTGGGCTGTGCGTGTGAATGCTGCAGCCTTTCCCCCTGGAGCCAGGGGAGGCTGGCTGACAGCGGATGAGTGGAGGTGGGAAGGCGGGTGCTACATAAGGAGTGCCCGGGCCCCTTTGCACCAATGTGTGCGAGAGAGCCAGGCCCAGAGGAGTGGCTCCGCTGCTCTGCCTGCGTTAGGAGTCTGTCCTGCAGGGGGACGACAGGGCTTTTGCTGGCGAGCCCAGAGGGCTGCTGTGCTGGGACAGGCAAGTTTCAGGTAAAATCCTCTTCTTTCCTGGCAGGGAGCTGGGCTCTAGTGGGCTTTGCCTCCTCCCTGTGGGTTTTGCTGGAGCTGTGGGCGGCTGATTTCTGCAGGGAGCAGCCGGGGAGGAGGAGGGGGAAGGAATCCGCTTCATGGATTTCTCACTGCTTTAGGGGAACGGGAGAGACATGATTTTGTTTCTTGAAGACCTGGATTCAGCTGTAGGTTCAGAGCTGGTTGCAGTCCAGGAGGATCAGCTGCCGAGAGGGGCTGGCTGAACTGGGGTGAATGTTGGAAGGCTTTGCAAATATTTCATACTTTCCTGGGTAGATGCACTATCGATGGGGGTTGTGTGGAGTGGGAAGGTTTGGGGGGGGTTACTGGGAGGGACTGGAACAGCTCCTAGATTCCTTATCCCTGGTGTGTGTAGCAGAGGTGTAGCCGGGAGGAAAGAACACAGCCCCGACCAGCCAGCTGCTAAGATCTGAAGGCAGGGTGTGTTTGGGCTGGGGCTGGAAACCAGACTTTCCGGGGGGAGTTGATTTCCCCTTTTTGCCGGCTTCCTTTCCCACCAGGGGATACGCACCACGCTTTACAGACCGGCGGCAAGATCTGCCCTTATGTTACACCCCCCTACTTGACTTCAGCAGGGTTGCAAGAACGGGAATGGGATCCAGATTTGGCCCCGCAGTTGCAGGGATGACTTCACCCAACCCTGAAATGCAGCGTCCTCTGGGGTGGGACCTAACTGCTGTTTTACAGTCACACAGCAATGCTGCCCGGGGAACGCTCGCCCAGCAGTGAAATGCAGCCACCTCTGGGTGTTGTACAGTCGCCCAGCAATGCTGCTGTATGCGGAAGTTTAATTACCACCGGCCGCCAGATTCCAAGCATTTTCCTGAGCCCACTTTAGCTTTGCTGCTCCGGGATTTATGCCCCGTGCTGCTTGTCCCAGACCTAGGTCAGAGGGTTAAGCTAACAAAATGAAGGCAGCTTGCTTACCTGGCAGTAAGCACAGGCGCTGGCAAAGACAGATTGAAATTCCTTCCCTGCCTTTTGACCTTCGTCCCCCTCCCCTTCCCCGCCTAAGTTAGCTGCTGAGCCCTGGAAACTCATCACATTGTCTAAGTCCTAGATCACAGCACTGTACATTCAGATGCACTTTCAAACCCCCTATCAGGACTGGCCAGGGAGTTACAGGCAAGGCTGCTATAACCCAAGTGAATATGAAAGGGAGGGAAGGATTGAACGCAGGCTGGAGCCAGGAGCAGCGTGAGCAGGTACTGGACTAATTTCCCCTCAGTCCTGTCCTGCAATGCTCTGCTATTCCCACAGCCCCCTGCTGCCCCAGCTCAGGCCTCCCCACCCACAGCTATGGTGACCAGACAGCAAGTGTGAAAAACTGGGACAGTGGGTGGGGGGTAATAGGAGCCTATATAAGAAAAAGACCCCAAAAATTAGGACATCTGGTCACCCTACCCACAGCTCAGCCGGTGCCCCTCAATTCTGCCCTGCAGTGAGCTCAGTCCTGCACTCCGGGATACTACACTGGCCCTTGCCAGGAAAGCTCCGTTCTGACATGTCCCCGAACAATAGATTTAATAGAATATCATGGTTGGAAGGGACCTCAGGAGGTCATCTAGTCCAACCCCCTGCTCAAAGCAGGACCAATCCCCAGACAGATTTTTGCCCCAGATCCCTAAATGGCCCCCTCATGGATTGAACTCACAACCCTGGGTTTAGCAGGCCAATGCTCAAACCACTGAGCTATCCCTCCCCCCAGTGCAATGCTGAGAGGAAGACGAATAAAACCTCTGGGCAGGGATTGGCGTGAGGGGAAGAGCTGCAGGAAACATCCCGGGGGGGTTGCATTGCAGGGCAAAAAGTCACACACACTTCCAATTATTTTCACTCTTGGTGGGCGGGTGGATCCCGCTCTCGGGCCGGATCCACCCTCAAGCGGCCACCGAAAGAACAAAATCGGTTTAATCCCCCGCTTTGGCGATGCTGGTGCAAACGGGGGCTGGACGCTCTGGTTTCAGATGAAAAGCATCACCGTTTGAGTGAGTTGAAGGGTAACAGTTTCAAAAGTGCCCGAGTGACTTCGGAGCCTAAATCCGATTGATCCTGAGTTATTTCGTTTTTAATGGTTTAAGTTAAAAAAAAAAAAAAAGACTCAAGCTACAGCAAAACGGGACACTCTGAATCTGAAACCAACATGTTCCAGGCACAGACTCCCACAGAAATAACGGACTCTGTTTTTGGAGTAGCCTAGCCCGCGATTGCAGAGATGTCGGTAGGCTCAGGGCTTGTCTCCAGGGCTCGCTGCACTGGTTTAACAAAGGGGGCGATTTTAAACTGGTTTAACTGACCTGGTGCATGAGCATGTGGACAGTGATTTCGGTTACAACCAGGCTTTTTGAGCTTAGCCACAGGGTTAAAAGGTCAGAAGGTCCAGGGGTTAGGGCAAGAGGCTAGGCTGTAAGAGACCTGGGTTCAAGTCCCTGCTCTGCCACAGACCCCGTAGGTGTCCTTGGGCAAATCACTTAGTCGCTTTGTGCCTCAGTTTCCCCACTGCCCTGCCTCACAGGGAGTTGGGATAAATCCATTAAAGACTGTGAGGAGCTCAGAGACGAGAGTGATGGGGGCCAGCTAAGTCCCAGAGATGGCCAGGAATAAGCTGCTCTTAAACCAGATTCAGAACATCCCCCCCAGGGGCTCGCAGCCATGTAACTAAACCAGTGCCAATTCTTGTGTCGACGCCTGGGTTCATGCAGTTATAACTGGGTCACTGCGGGCAGGGGCTGCAATGGTGCAGCGATGCCCATGCAAAGCCCTAGTGTAGATGAGGTACTGCCGCGTGAAAAGAGGCTTGCGCTGGGCACGTCTCAGCCTTTACCCCAGTGCAGCAGCTGGAGACCTGTGTCTCCATCGCCCAGTCCCTTGTGCTGTCACTTCCAGCGGTGCGGAGTGAGCGTGAGATGCTGCCCCTCACGGGGGTGTCGATTCCCACCCACTCTGCACTAGGTGCTGTGCGTGGGAGGATCGGGCCCCGAGGTTACATTGGTGCAAAACGCCCCAGTGCAGGCAGGCTACCAGAGCAGGAGCGCTGGATGATTCCCGGGGAGAGGGGATTCCAGATGCAGGATTGGGCCCCTCCGGCCCCACATGATTGCCACACAGCGGACCAGACTCCCCCCGGCATTGGCATGTAGGGCCTGATTCTGCTCTGAGCCTGTGTCGCTGCAGAGGAGCGTGCGAGAAAGACTTGGTCCATGTACCGCAGGCCGGTGCATGATGGGGGTGGAGTCAGGGGAGGACATGCACAGCCGCATGCCCGGCAGCCCCCTCCCTTTAGAACTGAAACCCCCGAGTGCATTTGAGCTGCTGCATGGAGCTCACCAAGCTGCGATCAGACAGGGCCCCTCCCCGCCTCACCCTATATCCTGGTAACAGCAATGCTGAGGCAGTGTGTGCGGTGCAGACACACAGCCTGGCCCAGCCATGGAGTGCCTCATAGGCTGTGGCCCGCCATGCTGCTCCCACCCTCTTTCGGAGGCTGCCCTTGCCTGCTCGGCGCTGGAGACGAAGGCCGTGTTGGCTGCACTGGCATGTTCTTGCTTTCTTTCTCGAGTCTGAGGGGATTAAACAGGAACATGCTCCGATACGTTCCTGGCAGCTTCTCGCTGCCCGGGCTAGTCTGGGAGCAGCATTGCACCGCGGCTGACCTGATGCTGAAGGCAAAGCTGGTATCACCTCCTCATAAGCCAGGCCCTGTGCAATCATGGGATTTAATGAAGAATAAAGATCAGCTGCTTCTCCTGGTGGGGGAGCACTCAGGGGTCCCATTTTCCAGTTTCTCTCTGCAACCAGCAGGGCTAGAAACTTACTTAGTTTTTTAAACGGAAGCTGAGATTCTCGGGGAATCACCTGACTCCAGGAGCTGGGGCTTTAAGGTAAAATAGCAAAGATCCCGAGGCTTGCAACAGAATCAGGAGAGATGGCAACACTAGCAGCCAAAGCCTGGTCTTATATTAAGCGTGCACAGAGCTTACAGCTGGCTTCTGCTGTCTAAGCTGCTGGGAGCTTGGGGCCCAATTTTATCAAGCTCCCTGCTAGCCTGGGCTTTGATCCTACATAACCTGCAGCCTTGATCCTATCTAACCCGCTGGGAGCCCTCACCTTGGTTATCTGATGTGCAGGGAACCCAGGTATTTTGTACCTTTATCCTGGTAAAGATTTGGGAAGCAACAAACAGATCATTTCTCCCCACACCTTGCAAACAACCAGCACCCCAGCTCCCGCCTTTTCCCAGCCAGGTGTGATGCTATGTGACTGACAGCTGTCAATCTGCTTGGGAAGGGAACACCCCCGACTTGCATCTCCCTCTGGTCTCTTAGGGCCAGACCCTGAAAGGTATTTGGGCACTTAACTCCCAGATGGTGCCTAAATACCTTTGTGGCTCTGGGTGATAGCTCCCAAGCTCTGCATCAGTAGCTCTGATGAATCAACCACGTTCTGGGGTGGCTTCCATGGCAAGAAACACAAAAGGGAAAGGAATCTGTCCTCTGCCCACAGCACTTAGGACAGAGCCATTCATTAAATCTCCCCCTCTCCCTCTGGGCGATGCCCTTGCTCGTGAGTTTCCAGAGCAGAGTCCCTTTTGCTAGCTGGGTGACTGGCTGGTCGGTGTTTCACGCTGTCCTGCACAGGGGCGCAGAGGATGCATGGTGTCTCCTGCAGAGCTGTGCATGCAAGTCTGGCGAGGGATTATGGGGGATCGTTCCTGGAGAGTGGAACTAGCTGACAGCTCCCCTGGAGGGGAGATCGCTGCGTTAGCTCCCTTGTCCCCCCTACTCGTGCATCCACTGGGGCTAGCCGCACGTCGCATTTTATGAGGCTGCAGTGGGGCTTATCTGGAGAGCCTCTGCTGGCCACCTGAGTGGCTTCCCTAAAGGAGGACGTCTCATGGCGGCGCTGTGGCCCATGCCGTGCTGATGACCCAAAGCAAGCACTGGTGCAGGTGGCGGTGTGGCCTGGGTGTCCTCGGGCTGGTTGCATCTCATCCTCGGGCTGGGCAAAGCTGGGAAAGCTCCGTTCCAGGGTCTCCTGGCAGCCACCAATTCACTAGCCCCCATGGCAAGTCCCACTTGCCTGTGTTCGGAAGCCCTGCTGCCACGCACCTGCCAGTGGCCTGGGGCCCGAGGTGAGATCATGGCGACGCTAGTGTCCCTCAGGGTTCATGTCCCCCTCTGAGCTCTTAGCCCAGCCCTAGGAACGAGGCTGTGGGCCAGGAGGTGCCCGTGTCCACTCCGGACCCTGCCTTCCTCACGTCCCATCCTTCTCTCTCCCTGCCTGGCCCCTGCAGCTCCGGGGACGTCGGCCCAGAGATGAGGCTGCTGTGGACTCTCCCGACCCTCTGGCTGTTGGCAGCAGAGGATCTCTCTGCCCACGGGGCCCGGACCCGCAGAGAGCTGGCACCGGGCTTGCACGAGCGGGGGATCCGTGACGCCGGCGGCTCGTACTGTGAGAGGAGCGATGCCTGCTGCGCCGGCAGGGACGACGCCTGCACCGTGCCTTACCTGGATACCATCTGCTACTGCGACCTTTTCTGCAACCGCACTGTCTCCGACTGCTGCCCTGACTTCTGGGAGTACTGCCTGGGCATCCCACCCCCCGTGCCTGTGCACAAAGGTAGGTGGGGCAGACCCCCTCCAGCAGCTCGCTCTGGCCTGGCCCAGGGCCTCTGGGTATCCCCATGGGGTCAGCAGCAATGCAAGCACCATCCCTCACATCCACACAGCTCCCACCCATCCGCCTGCCCCAGAGCGACCCCCATAGCTCAGTCCCCAGGGCCTGTTCAGCGCTTGGCTTCTCCACCGAGGCTGCCAATGACAGACCAATCGTTCTGGTGGAGTTTGTGTAGGTCAAACTAGGCTGGGACCCACCCTCGCCACCCAGACATCTATCGAACGGGGATAACGTGTGGTCCCACCTGCTGCAGGAGTTGAACCTGCAATCTCAGTGTTTCCTGGCCCTTAATGACCCCCGCCCTTCTATTCTCCTGTGGAGTCAACAGCAATTCCACTCAACAGGGCCTCTGTTCCCTCTCCTGCCCACTTGGCTGCTGTCCAGCAGCCATCCCCCTGTCCCCATCCATAAGGGGATCACCCCAGGGTCAAACCCCCAGACACGGGGCGGCGTCTCCCTGCGCCCCCTGCTGGTCTGCTCGGCACCGGGCTGCCTTTGGAGCCTTCCCAGGGGACATTGCCAGTCATCGGTCTCGGTCTCTCCCTTATCGCAGATCCTACTTAAGATGTGATCATTTCCTTGGCAGCTGCGAGAGCTCAGCCCAACAGCGGCTGGGAATGTGTGCACTTCACACGCGTCATAGCAGCTTTTCTCTGGCCCCGGGCTGCGGGGGGGGGGGGGGGGGGGGGGCTGCCAGCAGCCTTTCCTAGAGCTCTGCCCGCCTCTTGAGCGAAGAGTCGTAACCCCAGAGGTGCCAGGCGCTGGAAAACTCATGGGCCGGGAAGGGAGACCTCGGATCCTGCTTCTGGGCAAACCCAGTCCTGGCATAAGAGATGTAAATGCCACTGGAGACAATGGAGGTTTGGCTTCCTAATGCCCAGTCTGACTTTGCCCTGGGGGGTAACTGAGAGCAGAATTTGGCCCAGTACATTCCAGTTCCATTTCTAGGAACATAGTCAGAGCCTCAGCTGGTGTAAATCAGTGTAAATGCACTGGCGCCCGGGTGACTTCCACCAGTGGAGAATCTGGCCCACATTAGTTATTGACCGTTCCTTAGCACCCTTCGTCTGAAGGCCCCGCAGCGCAGGACAGCTTGTGGGCTGTATTCTATGCGCCGTTACGCCAGAGCAAATCCAGATAACGCCTTTGCCTTCAGCGGACTCACTCCAGAACATCGCCTGGTGCAACTGGACACAGAATCTGACCCTAGGTAGATAAATGGGTCCCTTTGCCCGGGGCTGAAATGTGGCAGCTATTGCCTAGCAACGCTGCCCGGCCAGCTGGGATGGGGGAGTGAACGAGACGATGGTGTCTGCTTTGACCCTGCCAGGGGAATTCCAGGATAAGGAGCTGGGCTGGAATTTGGCCAGTTCCATGCGTAACATCCCTACACTTGAAAATGGGACCTTTCATTGTCCGGTGCTCAGGGCCTTGCGTTGATGCTGCTGTCACTGAGATCAGAACCTGATCAGTCAAGATCATGGTCCTCAGAGCCGCGTATGTTTCACTGTCATGTTAACCCTGACATATCTTGCTGGGGAGACTGCATCCGCTGGGCTGCGTGTCCCTCCCTCTGATGCGTGTCACAAAACTCTTTCTAAGAAGCCATTGAGGAACCAGCCGGCGTATAAAGATGAATAAAGCTTTTGTAACTGGGGCCTTTATCGGAAATGTTTCCAATCCACAGGGACGTGGGCGAGTCTGTCGCATGATCTCACCCTGTGAACGCCGCTCTCTGGGAATGACTCCTGCCCTCCCCACCGCAGGGTCCCACGGTTGTGGCACAAACCACCAGGTGCTCTTTACTCCATCCCAATTAGGGGGCCGGTGTGCACCCTTTTTGGAGTCGCGGAGGGGTTGGCCCGAGAGGGCGCTCTGTGGCGGCCACGCTGGGACATGAGGGTCCCATGCTGGGAATGTGGGGAGCTGGCCCCTAAGCCAGGGGGCAGGTTCTGATCTGTTACGCCGGTGGGAATCAGGAACTGTTCTGGATTTACACCTGTGCAGCTGAGAGCAAAGCCTCCGCCCCCCCCCCCCCCCGGTGACTGAGCTGTGTGGAGCAATGAGGAAAGCCTGGGCGCGTTTACATCAGAGGGTGCAGGGCATGAATCACACCTGGGACACGCTTCGCTTTTCTGGCACCGAACCCAAAACCGCACAAACAGCCTCCCCTGCACCACGAACCAATAAATCAGAGGGTGATAAGTCACCCCCACCCCCCCGTCTCCAATTGCACTTTGTCCAGCTGCCTTTGCACACCTCCTGGCTGGGAGCCAGCAAGGGGAGGAGTGAGTTAAAGGCCGGCAGGGCAGTTCAGTTCAGTTCCAGCAGCAGCTGCATAACTGCACAGCCTACTGGCCCCCGGGATAGTTGGAAGGACCCGGCTCCTCCTCCCATGAGTCAGAATTAAACCCTTTCATGTCCTGAGACGCAAGAGCTGTGCCCTCTGGTACAGCTCAGGTAGGCCTGGAAAACCTGTCTGAGATTGGCTGTGATACAGAGGGGTGCAGAATATTTCCAAGGCAGACCCCAAACCGTTCTAAATGGGCAGGGGGATTAGTTTGGACGGGTGGGCCAGGGGTTCGGGTGCTCACTTGGGATCAGTTCCCTGCTCTGCCACAGACTCCCTGTGTGACCCTGGGCGACTCACTTGGTCTCTTTGTGACCACGGCTCCTTATTCCGCGTGGGCTGGTGGTATGGCTTATGGTCTTGGTGCTGCTCCTTTGAAGTCAATGGAAAGATTCCCACAGACTGTATGGGGAGTTGCTTTGTGGTAGCAGTGATCTAACTAGTCTCACGTGTACCCCTGTAGAACAGTTCCTCACCGTGGTCTGTTCTTCACCTCTCTCCTGTCCAGGTTGTGATCGTGGTGGACACAAGTACCCAACCGGAGCCACCTACAGAGAAAACTGCAACCTCTGGTGAGTGCATTGGCTTCTGATCAGGGGTCTTGCTGACGCCAGGCGTTGCTAATTATTTCCCGAGCTGCTAATGAGCTGTTTGTCATCAGCTAAGTCAGATGACTCAGGTTTCTCTTTAAACCATTCGAAATGTATTTTTCCTTAGCGGAACCCCGTCCCCAAGATTTCCGCCTCGTCCCCTGCCAGAGAGATCTCACAAGGCTCCCAGTGTGCTCAGCGGGAGACCCATCGCTTGTAAAATGAGACTGCACAGAGCATCAGAAAAATGTGTTGTAGGGGCCATCTGCACTGGCAGGAGAGTGGGGCCAGAGGCATGACCGGTCACAGATTCCAGCGTTCTCTGATGCCAATCCACGGGGGTTTGGCTGGCGCTGAGATTTGGGTGCCAGTCTCCTTGGGAACTGCCAGCTTTTCCCTGGCCTGCAATGGAACGGCACGGGCTGCCCAGAATTTCCACGGCAGAGCCATAACGCAGCCGTGGGGTTTCTGGAAACTGGGCCTGCATGTTTAATGACCCACAGCGAATCCTTCGACTTGCCCAGTATTAAATTGGTGATGAAATCCCAGATTGGGTCAGTTTGGGGTTCATCACTGTTTCCTGCAGAGGTGTCACCAAGACCAAATTCTGCCCTGATAACCCCGCTGTGGCTTAGAAATGTAGGTCTGGAAGGGACCTCAAGAGGTGATCTAGTCAAACCCCCCAGGCTGCAGCCCCAGCACAGGCAATGGTTTGCCTCCCTTTATGAACGCTGGCTACGGTTGCATCACGAATGAACCTCCTTTCTCAGCGGCATGCTGAGAGCTGATTCCAGTCTTTACAGCCCTTTCCAAAGTATCTCTGGAATCCTAGAAATCGAGATGGGAAAGACAGATTGGGCTGTTATGCCTCTCCATGTGCAAAGAGCAAACAGATGATTTAGGTGTGAATGGGATTTATTTTAGATAAGGAGAACAACGGAGAACAAAAGAAGTCTCTATGGGTATGTCTACACTACGGGATTAATCCGAATTTAGATAATTCGAGTTTGGGAAACAGGTTGTATAAATTCGATTGTGCGCGGCCACACTAAGCACATTAATTCGGTTTTTAACCACATTAATTCGGTGGTGTGCGGCCACACTACCCCATTAATTTAACCACAGTAATTCAGTGGTGTGCGGCCACACTAACCCTAATTCGAATTAACAAAATCGATTTAGGCTCTACTCCGCTCGTCGAGGTGGAGTACAGAAATCGATTTTAAGTGCCCTTTAATTCGAATTAACTGGCTCTGTAGTGTGGACGGGTGAAGGGTTAATTCGGATTAACGCAGCTAAATCCGAATTAAAGTCGTAGTGTAGACCAGGCCTATGAGAGAGCGCAGTGTGTGCGCGCATGTGTCGCCTAACAGTCTGTACTGAACTGAGCACAAAATGGCTGCCCACCTCTACAGAGAGCAGGAGCCCTATAGATTTAAAGGTGCAGGATACAGAAAACGAAGGCATAAAAGCATCAGAGCTAAATACACCAATTGAGCCTTACTGTAGATCAGGGATATCCCTGCATGCTCATAATGGGCTGGATGCTTGTCTCAGTTACACTGGTGTGAATCCGGAGGGACTCCACTGATTTATACGGACGTTAGTGCAGCACCTTGTATCAGCTGGTAGGAAGCTCACCCGCGAGACCAGCACCTGTCTGAGACCATGCAGCCCAGCATTGAGTTGGGAGGATACAGAGTGTATGACAATCACAGCAGAGCATCTCTGGAAATCCCCCCCGCTCCCCAGCCACAATTTGCTGTCTCAGGAGCCAACTCTCGCTGGTGTTTTACCAGCAGGAATGCGGGGGTGGGATGCACTCAGTGTTGAAGCAAACTCTTCCCTGACCAGTTCCCAAGCTCCTGGGGCCGCAGGGGTCAGACCCTGCCCAGGGCGGGGGCTTCAATAAGGGCTCAACATTCCCAAGATTAACCAGCCGCCTTTCCTGCAGAAGGGGAAGTGTCTTCCAGCAGGGCTGGGCCTTTGGGGGCTGAACGCTCCTCCTGCCAAAATATTCCCAGTCCTGACCCCACGTCGGACTTAATAAGCAATTCCCCTTTCAGCTCTTACTCCAGATGCATCTGCATCTTGTGTGACCCCCAGCTACTCCCACTCAGTTATCTCTCTCCCCTGTCCTACTAGACCCCCCAGGCAGATCCAGCCCTGCATTGGCCCAGAGTTAGAGGCCATTAGGTCTCTCTCCAGCCATAAGGAGCCCCCTGCGGCTCCCCCTCCCAGCCTCCAGCACAGCAGCATGCTAGGGCAGGTAAGAAGGGCCACTGGTGACTTGGTATGGTTGCCGTAAGGGGCTGCTCTAACTTACACAAGGGGCCGCTCCAGCCCCCAGAGCGGCCTAGAGGCTAGGAGGCAGAGGTGGTGTGAACATCTGTGAAACCTCTGTTTACTTCCTGCCACGGGACTACTGGGCACCTTACACACGACCCCTCCTCCCCCCCATTTTTAACAGGGCCTGCTCTGCTCCTTGATTTAGTTTCTGAGAGCGATGCAGTGTCTGCACCCGGGGCAGTTCCCCGGGCTGGGATCCACCCTGTGGATTGCAGCGGGGCGAGATCCTCTCCCCAGGGGTTAATAACAAGATGCTCCAGCAGCCCGGGCACCACCGTGTGTGCGGAGACCAAACAGCAAGGAGGGGGGAGCGAAGGGCTTGGAAAGCATCTGGGAGGCCGTGGAATTTGAACTCTGGCTTTTTCCATTGCCTCATGGGCGCAAGGCAGCGGCGCGATCACCAGGCAGAGGGGAGGGAAGATCCCCCGGGGTTATAACACACACAAGGAATGTTGGGCCTGAGAGAGGAGCCTGCGACCCCTGGCCCCAGGGGAGGCTATCATGGTTGTTCCTGTTTCGGGTGAGCCCTTTCCACCCTGAACAGTGATGTGCTTCCCTCCCAGCTGGGCTGTGGGCCCACCTAGACCCACGTGGACTGTCGGGACGTGGCTGGGGCGTTCGGCGGGAGTGGAGTGGGAAGGGTTAATTGGATGTGACTGTCTTGCTTTTCTATCGTCCCATCCGTGCAAGGATCTGAAATCGCTTAATAGAAGGGTCATCAGTGAAGTGATCCCCTCCTCCCCAGAGTCTTATCTCCATTTCAGGCGGGAAACTGAGGCTCCGGGAGGGCAGCTTGCACAGCACGTCAGTGTCGGAGCCAGGAATGGAACCCCGGAGTCCTGGCTGCTGCTCTCAGTGCTAGCGAGTGCAGCGGAGCAGCCAGCTGCTGATGAGCTGGGGTGGGGCGAATTCATGTACCCCAGGACCAGGGGAGAGGAGCGGCCCGGGGCGTGGCCAGTCACATTCCGCCCTGTGCCCCTGTCGCCCGGCACAGATGCTGCCACCCTCCCGGCAGCCCTTCCGGGAGCAGAAATGCTTCTCAGCCCTCACAGCTCTGCTGCCTGGGGCCTCGGGGCAGGGAGGGGCGTCTCCTGCGATCCCTGGGGAGGGATGGCCGGTTACTCTTCAAACCGCTGATGGTTTCTAGCAGGTTATAAAGTGTCCCCTCCCTCCGCCTGGTTGCTGAGAGCTCCATTGAGCCGGGGGGCAGGATGAGGGGCACACAGCTCTCCATTGGTTCTGGGCAGCTGGCTGTGGGGAGGCAGGGGGGATATCTCCTCTCCCCCACCCCGGCTGTGTTCCCACTCTCTCTCCTCTGTGGGGTGGCGGCGAGGATGTCGCTATCCACACCCCAGTGGAACACCTGCCTCCATCTGCCCAGCGGCGCCTGCCCAGACTGGCCAGGCAGCCCCGTGCACCCAGCGGCGGGAGCCTGGCAGCAGGGTTGCAGGGGCACCGGACATCCAATGCCCCCCAGAGGGGCAGTCGTCCCCTGCTGGGAGGAAGGCAGGCGAGATCTCCCACTCAGCGTCCCGGGGAGGGAAGGGTTACGGCTGGGCCCGGGTCTGCCGGCTCAGCTCTGTCTATCCTCGGAGAGTCCTGCCGGCAGCTCCTTCGCCTTAAAAGGAAGCGCAGCCTCTCTGGGCTGGAAAAGGAGCAAAAAACCAGCAGGGCTCTTGGAGAAAATACCGAGCATTGCTTGGAGCTTGGTTAATGCTGGAGAAGGCTTGTGTGAGCTCCCCGTGGGCGCCAGGGGACTGGAGGTGCTGGAATGGTGTGTGTGTGTGTGGGGGGGGGAGATGGATTTCATTTGGTGCCTATGGGAGTGAGGGAGCTCAGGGGCCTGCTTCATGCTCCCCACCCCCCAGCTCTCCACAGCTCTGCTGCTGCACCCTGATCCAGAGCTGCAGCCCCCCCCAGCCCCGCAGATCCCCTGCCGCGTGGGGCACAGGACACTTGCTGGGCTGAACTAGAGTCAGCAGTGGCTGCTCTGTAACTTGGAGTCTTGCAGTCAAATCTGAGGATTTCAGTGACTCAGCCACAGGCGCTGGGCCTGCTGTAGGAGCCGGTGGGCGACTCGGTTCTGCAGCCTGTGCCGTGCAGGAGGTCAGAGATGATCAGGATGGTTCCTTCGGGCCTGAAACTCTCTGAGCAGAGCCTGATCTTCCTTTCCTCCCCAGCTCTTCTAATGCATCCCAGGCCTGGTCTCCACAGAGACGTGATATCAGGGTGACTATGTCAGGGAGGGGTGTGAAAAACCCACACCCTGGAGCTCCGTAGATGCAGCCAGGGCGGCGGAAGAATGGTGCCTTTGATGGGGAAGGCGGGATGGAGAAACCCCTTCTGTCGCTGCCGTCTGCGCCGCGGGGATACAGCGTTATGTCGCTGCCGAACCTGTAACGCAGACATGGGCTGGCTAGGTTTCCCCGAAGGTTTAGTACAGACTCTCTCGTGTTCCCTGGTTTTAACACGGGCTGCTGAACTAATGGAAAGGCAGCAATAGCTGCTCTGAACCTTCCCCCAGCTCCAGAGTTTGTTGATGTTTGCAAAAGCCTGGCTAACTTTCAGCCTCATTAGTTTTCATCCCATGCTCCTTTGCCCTTCCAAGCTCCAGCAGGGACCAGCAGGGGAACAGGTCACAGTCTCATGCCAAGGACTGATTTCAAGGGCTTTCTGGCTCAGTTTCGCAGACCCACGTGGCTCCAAAGGTGCAGAGAAGTGAGTTTAGTTTCTTCTCTGAAGGCAGCATCCAACCCTTTAAGTGCTGGCAGGGCTGGCTCTACTGTTTTTGCCGCCCCAAGCAGCGCGCCGAATTGCCGCTGTGGACGGCGGGGGCTGTCCATGTGCCGTTAGGGCAGCACGCGCGTTTCCGCGGCGGCGGCAATTCGGTGGCAGCTTCTGTCTTCAGCCGGAAGACAGAAGCCGCTGAATTGCTGTCGCGGGCAGCTGAACCTGCTTGGAATGCTGGTGCCTGGAGCTGGCCCTGAGTGCTGGCTTGCAAACGGAGCAGAGCGTAGGCAGATGGGCTGCTGGGGGTGGGTTGCGGGAAGGCACAGGAGCTGAGGCCGATAGCTGAATCACAACTCTGGAGCAACAATGGATGCAACTTCCCTCGAGATCCAGTATTGGCTGCCACCTGGGGTAGCTCCCCCAACTTGTGCCGTGGGCAATGCGTGGCTGAGGTGGCTTTGGGTGCAGCCGGGGAGCGAGTGAGAGGGAACGACTGGTCCCGGCCTCACACGACGGATCTCTAGCTTAGGCAGACACGTAGCGGTTCCGTCCCGCGCCATTGGCAAGGCCTTGTCCCACAGTTCCCCAGCTGGACCTGCTTCCCTGGCTGACCCTTCCCTTATCTCCTTCTCTTCCCAGCACTTGCAGCGGGAACGGGAAGTGGGACTGTGAGCAGCACGCCTGCCTCATCGATGGCGAGATGATTGATGCCATCAACAGAGGGAATTATGGGTAAGAGCCCTTTGCCGGGTGGGCGGGGAGAACGGTTTGCCATGGCCTTCGAAAGCCTGAAGGTTGGAGGTGTCGCCGTTCCACTGCGGGTCCATGGGGCAGCCTGATGCTCTGAGAAACCTGCAAAATGCTGGGCCGGGTTCGCTGTGAGTGTTTGGGTCCTGGTAGCTCTGAGAGCCCCCAGCTGAGATCACGGCCCCATTGTGCTCGGCGCTGTACAGACACCCAGCGAGAGAGAGCACCGGCCTCACAGAGCTTACAGTCTATACCGACAAGCCGGACGCAAGGCGGGAGGAAGGAAGAGTTCATTACAGAGGGAGAAACGCTGGGCAAGCGAGGGTTAACATTCTGCCCTGTGCCTCCAAGCCTGCTTTTAGTAAATGAAAAGTCCTGACAACCGTTCTGAGAACGTTTTCAGTACCAGTGGCCCCCCAGAAAGGCAGCACGTTTGGTGGGGGGTATTTTTTTTTGCGAAAAAAGAAAAATTCCACCCACCGACCAATTTTGAATGAAAATTTTCGGTTTAGAAAAAAGGGCCGTTTCTGGTTAGAAAAATGTCGTCCAGCTCTAGGGTACAGCCCCTGCGCCCCACTGCTTTGGCACATCAGGGCCGGGGCGGGGGATGGAACCTCTCCTGAGTCATGTGAGTGTCTGGTAGCCAAACCCTTCCCTTAAAATGCTGTTAGACGCCCCTTAGCACCTAGACAGCATGGCTGGACTTGCAGTTAAGGCACTGGCCGGACACCTGGGTTCCTTACCAACCACTGCTGTAGACCACTAGAGTGACCTTGGGCAAGTCGCTTAGCCTGTCTGTGGCTCCATTCCCCATCTGTACACTGAGGATACTAGCACCGCCCTCCCCTGCCTCCCCGGGAGTGAGAGAGTGAATGTATTAAAATGCTGATGCCACAGTAACGGGGCCCAGATAAGGGCCTAGGACGGCGTGGCTAAGTCCCCTCTCCGTGTCAGGGACCAAACCAAAGCCCTGGGCTCAGTGTGAACGTCTCTGGAACGGGCCACGCTGACCTTGGCGGGGAGGAATCCGGCGCTGACCCTTCTCAAGCCCTGAGGTGCCCAGACGTGGGCCCTGCAGCCCAGGCCCATCTCTGTGTTAAACACCCGCATGCCCCCAACTAGCACTTCCAGGGGGTGGAGCTGGTCAACACCCTACAGCTTCAGGCTGAGCCGTCCACGCCTGGGGTCGTGAGCGTGTCGGGGGTGCTTTGCTCTCTAATCGGACCTGCGCCTGTCCCTCGCTAGCTGGAGAGCCGCCAACTACAGCCATTTCTGGGGGATGACGCTGGACGAAGGGATCCACTACCGGCTGGGGACCATCAAACCACCCCCCACGGTCATGCACATGAACGAGCTGCAGGTGAGTCTGTCTTGCCTGGCCCAGGCCTTCAATAGGGTGGGGGTTGGGTTTAGTTCCTGTCCACTTGAGACTAACTCTCCCGTCCCAGCCTGCAGCTGGGATTTGATCCCTGTGGGGGGCATTATCCCCATTCTACAGATGAGCACTGAGGCACGGGGCAGATTAAGGGACCAGACCAAGGTCATACTGGGTGTCTGTGCCTGAGCTGGGAATTGGCCCAGGCCAGCACTGACCTTCCTTCCTATCCTGGCAGGGCCTTCCCCCTTGTGCTGGAAATGGCTCCACGCTTTGGCTGAGGGCTGCTGCTCTCTGCCGTTGATTATTGCCGAGCTGCGGACGCTCCGGGCTGTCCCGATTCGATTTCACACACCGGCAGCCTTTCGCCGCACAGCCTTCCAGGGCAAGTTCCTGAGCTGGGGCTAACGCCCGTGAGGATCCACGTGGCGGGGAGCACTAGCAGGGCCTGCCTGCCCACAATGCTCACCGGCGTGCGGACGTGCCCAGAAGTGTGCTGCTCACCCTCAGGCAGTGATGCTAGCACACACATGGGATCCGGGACTGGGGTCGTGTGCTTCTGTCCGGAACCCCAGGAGGCAGGGCAGCCGCCGGCTATGGGCCAGTCACTGCCCAGTTACGGCGGCCTCCTTTGACAGCTGGCTCAGGCTGTAGGCAGGGGAAAGGGGCGTGTTCTCTGGAGGAGGCTGCAGTCTACCCCAGGCAACCCCCAGGCCAGGGGTACAAAGCCACGTCGGATTTTTTTGGAAGACTGAAGTGGGCCGATACTCCCAGGCCTGTAGTGGAGGCTCCGTGGGGGTCTCTTTAGGCCTGTTCATCTGGAAACCCCAGCTCAGTAGCTTCAGCCTTGCGATCCCTGGATTCTTTTCCTTTCCTTCCCCTGTTTGTTTCCCATCGGAAAGCGAGGTCCGCGCCGGCCCCCGGGCCCCTGCTGTGCCGCTGCTGAGTCTGCAAAGCCAGCCTGCTGCACGGTGCATTACCCCGGACGCAGTCTGTCCCTAAAGGCTCCTGCCAGAACAAACACGCGGGCAGGGGCTGCCAGGGCACGGCACTGACGTCGCCCGGGCTCTGCTCCCGTCCAGTTTCCCGCGGAAGGTGGCCCCTGCCGGTGCGTGTGGAAGAGCGACGGGGCGCTGCTCAGACTCATTCTGTTCCAAGCACGTTCTTGGAGAGCAAGACGCTGTTTTTCCAGTGGGGGCTGGGGGGGAAGTCAGCTGGCTCGGCCGGGCAGGAAACCCAGGCTGTCAGCGGATGGGACAGGTCGTTATTCCAGCTTGCGCTATTGTTCGCCTGCTGCTTTTTTTGTGTGTGTCTCTTGGCGCTTCTGCTTGACCCGGGACTCGGGGGTGGTCTAAGCCAGGGCAGGAAGAGGTGTGAATGGGGGGAAAGGCCAGATTTCATTTTGCTTTCCCATTTTTGGGGATTCCCTGTACTCATCTGAGCCAGGCGCGGGGGCTGCGTCCAATCGGGTGGGGGCGGCCCCTGCCCGACACATGTTGCCATGACGTGGGGGCGGCAAAGATCGGGGCGGCCCCTGCCCGACACATGTTGCCATGACGTGGGGGCGGCAAAGATCGGGGTGGTCAGGAGGTAGCATGCTCAGATTCCATTAACGACCTCGGGGCAGCATCCCGAACAGCGCCTCCTGGTGGTGACAGCAGGCAGCAGTGCAGCAACCCCATGCCAGGCCAGGCTGCGGGTAGCACCCTGGCCAAGTGTGCTAGGCGGTTGATCCGCACCCTACCCTGCTCTCGCTGAACAGAGCTAGTGCTTTAGAGGCCTTTACTTTGGGGTCAGAGACCTTGGGTGCAATCCTGGCTGGGAACTCTCTTGCTGCATTGCAGGGATGGGGCAAGTCTGTACGGTCGAGGCGTTTACACCATTCTCCTTCACCTCCACACCTTGCCGGCTGGCGGCCTCTTTCCCCCAAGGAAGGAAGGCCAGACCAGAGCCCTGAAATAGTCTTGTGCTGACCCCAGTCCCAGCAGTTCATATTTATCCCTCCTCCCGCTGGGAACCTTGAAATCATCAAGGTGCGGAGGATGGAAAGAAGGGTCCCTGTTGTTATGGCCTGGCTTTGTTTTTCTTGGAGTGCCCCTATCGTTGGCGCGAGATCGCTCAGGAGAGAACATAGCGCAAACATCAACGCGCCTTCCCCTCTGAGCTTGGCAGCAAGGGCGGACCACGGTCCGAGGCCGCAGTGTCCTTCACTCCCTGACCATGTGTATTTTTAGAGACGTTTCCTGATCACACATAAATGCTCCGCATTTGAATTGCATCCGCCCCGGTGCATGGCTGGCGGCCGGCCGGGGGCTGGGCAGCGTTGCCCAGGAAGGACTCCCTGAATTCACTCCAAAACGAAAGGCAGCCATTTGTTCTGCAATTGGAGGGTTGCAATTCAGCCAGGTTCAAAGAAAGCCTGTTGTTGTTCCAGTAGCCCAAGAAGCCGGCACCTGAGCTCAGGGCGCCCTGGTGTGCACACCCAGGGGACGACAGCCCTGCCCCAAGGCGCTGGCAGTGTCACTAGACAAGACAGAGGAAGGATTCGTATCCCCGGTTTGCAGTTGGGGAACAGAGCTGCAGAGGGTGAAAATTTCCAAAGAACCCAAGTCAATTAGGAGCCCAAAGCCCATTGACTTCCAAAGAGACTTAGGCTCTTACATGCCTGTCCCTTTTGAAGAAGGGACTTAGGCACTTTGAAAACTTACCCAAGCCAATGGGAGTTAGGCACCTACATACCTCTGAGCCTAAGTGACTGGCGCAGAGTCAGTGGCAAAGCCAGGAACTGGCCCAGAGCTCCCAAGCCCCAACCCAGTGCCTTTACCATAAGCCCATCTCCAGTTTAACACCCACCAAGTGGGTCGGGGTTGATTGCCTGCTTGGGGGAGGTTTGGATCCTGCAGGAAGCTTTTGGTGGGGGGGCGGGAGGGAAGCAAAGGTTTCTGGGGAAAGGGGAAGAGGCCAGGCTCTCAGCTGGCCCTGGGGTATCGTCTCTAGAAGGGCTCCTCTCTTGAATGCAGCCTGGAACTCCAGCCGCCCTCGGCCGTGGTGTCCCGGGTGCTCTGGCACTGTGGCCCGCTGAGGCTCCCTGTCTCTGCCTCTGCAGATGAGCATGGACACCAACGAGCGGCTCCCCAGCCATTTCAACGCAGCTGACAAGTGGCCCGGGTTGGTCCTCGAGCCCCTGGACCAGGGCAATTGCGCCGGCTCCTGGGCTTTCTCCACGGCAGGTAAGGTGCCCGTCGGGCAGCAGTGCCGGGCAGCATGCCCCGGCAGGAGGTGGCCGGTGCAGAGAGAAGGAGTCCCCCGTACCCGCTCACTGGAAGACCCCTGCCACTCCCTCCCCTTGCTGCCATGGTTCTGCCCATTGGCGTGGTGCATAGAACGGGCCCGTCCTTCGTGCCAAGTGCCAGCTGCTCCCTGTCCCGGCTCGGGCCCCTGGGGCTGAGGCTGATTGGCTGGGGGAAGGGAGAAGAGTTGTATCTGCTACGTTAGGAACCTCCTAACCACGTGAGTTTCCTCCAAGCGGTGGCATCGGACAGGATCTCCATCCATTCCATGGGGCACATGACGCCCGCCCTGTCCCCCCAGAACCTGATCTCGTGCGACACCCGGAACCAGCAGGGCTGCAGCGGGGGCCGGATCGACCGGGCCTGGTGGTATCTGCGCAGGAGAGGGTGAGTGTGGTACAAAGGGTGGAAGGGCGTCAGCAGAGCTTTGGGCAGGGGAGGGAGCCCCGGAGTGGGGCAGCGGGGGAGGGGGCTGCAGGGCAGAGGTGGAATGAATCAGCCGAGCTATGTCTGGGAGTTCAGGGCTCAGAGAGTGGGGGGCGGTGTGTATGGCGGAGGGCAGGAATATAGCAGGGGGGCTGTGGGGCACTGGCAAAGCTGCAGGTGGAGAGGGAAGCCCAGGGCTGGAACAGCAGAAGAGCGATGGGTTGGGATCGAGGGGCATTGGCAAAACCAGGGGGGGGAGAGAGAGGACAGGACTTGTTGCACTGTGCCCAGGAACAGGCTGGCATTGCCCAGAGAATGATCCATCCCCTGGCACGGTCGCCTCCAATCTGAGACGGAGCCAGCATTGGTCAAGCCATCCTGGAGCTGCACTGGGTGTCCCAGCCCTCCCCGGCCCATCGTCCCTGTGCCGGGGGCTGGCGCTTTGTCCCACCTGCCGCTGTGCAGCCCTCTCTTACCCCCCACTCTTGCCTCCCAGGGTGGTGACTGACAGCTGCTACCCCTTCACCAGCCGGGAGAAGGACAGCGCCCCCGCAGGCCGGCCCTGCATGATGCAAAGTCGCTCCACGGGCAGAGGGAAGAGACAAGCCACCCAGCAGTGCCCTAACCCCCAGACCCACTCCAACGAGATCTACCAGTCGACCCCCGCCTACCGCCTATCCTCCAGCGTAAGTGCCGCTGCCCCGCCCGGAGCCCTCTGCGGGCGGAGGCCAGCCCCCGAGGGGTTAACGCTGGCTGGACCTGGGCTGGCCCAGTCCCACTCGCTCAGGGACAGCAGGCTCCAAGCGGGAGGGCATTGGAGGGGTGGGGTGAGGGCCGTGCCGAGTTTAAAGCCCAGGGTCTCCCAGCTGCCACCACCTCCCGGCCCGGGTGTGACCCAGCCCTGCTCTGTGTTTGCAGGAGAAGGAGATCATGAAGGAGCTGATGGATAATGGGCCCGTGCAAGGTAAGGGATGCGCCAGCTGGACTGGACCCACCCACCACTTGCCGCAGGGAATCCCCTCCCCATCCGACTCTGGCACAGACCCCGCTACCCGTCCAGCCCCAGGGAGCCCCCTCCCTCTCCCACAGACCCTGTTACTAGTCCCTGGCTAGTGCAGAGGAGGGGGCTAGGGGGTTGGCTTCCATTTGGGCTGCTCCTTCCCCCCCCCGGGAGTGGGGTAAAGGGGGCATGCCCCTCTGTTGCTATCCCTGGCTGCATCCGGTGCCCGTCTCCAGGACCTCGGGGTGAAGCTGGCAGGGGAGACATTAGCCTCAAGTGCTGGGCTTCGAGGATCCCATCAGGGCTTAGGCACAGAGCAGCTCAGTGACTCCAGGGGGCTGTGTGTGCCGGATGGCTGAAAAATAGGGGACGTTCCTGGTGGAAACGTGGGTTAGGCAGCTGCTCAGCAGGGTTTTGATGTCTAAATGTTGGGCATAGGTGCTTTGCGAATCCAGCCCTCGGGTGCTGTGGTGGGGAGCGTGGTGTGAGAACCTGTGTGGAATAGAATAGACTGGCCCTTTCGGCATGGGCTAGTGTCCTGAGTGTTAGCTGCCAGAGGCCACACTTATTACTGTGTGCTTCCCAATGGGACAGCAAACGGGGCCCGTTCCTGATTCAGAGAGCAGGATCCCATCATGTAGAAAGAGGGGGCAAGAATTAGACGCAGCCTGGGTGTGGGTCTAGGGCAAGGACCATCTCTTTGTACTGTGTTTGTACAGCTCCTAGCACAACGCGGTCCTGGTCTGTGACTCAGGGCCCCACAATTGTCCCACAATACAAATTATAATAAATAACAGTAGAGAAGGCCAAATCCAAGATGATGCCCAGGTTATGGGCCTGAGCGACCTATTAGTAATCATGTTCATTAAGGGCTAGCCAAAATCCCATTGTTCCAGGCAGCGTACAGACACAAAGCCGCAGACTTGCGGCATTTTGTCTTTGCAAGTGTTCATTTCAACATTTACCAAAAAAAGGGTCCGTCAGTATTTCAATCTGTGGTGAGGCCGTTTCACAGAATATACCAAAGGCCCTTTGTTTACAGTTTTTATTTTTCTTTACAATTTCCCAGGACTGTACTAGTTTTTATTACAAACATTTTAAAAAAGGATAAAACATCAGTGCCAAAAAATTAACTTCACCATTTTCTGGGTAAATACCAGGATTAATATTGGACGCCGGGAGGACAGAAACAGCAGCAAATTGAGAAAAGTTGCACATTAATGGTTCACACGCACTCCGTGGTCTTACTTTAACAGCCTCCCGGGTACACTTTGTCTAACTTATTACAACCTAAACACAACTCTGCTGGACTGGATTTTCTTAACATCATTGTTTTTTTCCTGTACTTGAGTGGTCCAAAATTCGGGTGAAACTCACTAAAAACGCAATACGAGCTTTTGTAAAACCCGGGACATGTTCAGTAAAAATCAGTAAAAAGTGAAAACCAAGGGCCTCACGTGTCCCGCCCAGCTAGCTAGTGGCCTCCCCTCCCCATCTCAGCACCACAGGATACCCACATGCTCCACGCTCCCTTTGGCAGGCAGGGCGAGGCTGGTTAATGTTTAACAAGCTGTGTGATTGGTAAAGCCGCAGTTAAGCTGATTAATGGTCTCTGGTGCTGGGGCACCCATCCTGCTCTCTCGTCACAAATGGGGGCTGCGCGTCGCTAGGACCGTGTTCAGTTATTAACTGCAGGGAGCTGATCTCAAATTCCCATTGGTTTGATTTTTAATCGGCGTGATAATAAATTTTGTAAAAGCTCCCTCGGCAGGAGTAGTCCAAAGGGGAGGGAGAAATCCTGCTCGAAAACCCAGCTGTGTTCACCCCATCTGCACTAGACTTCCCTATATGTTCAGCCTGGCTGACTTTCCATTTAAACCAAACAACAAAGAACAAAAGTCAAGTCTGCTTGGGGGAGAGAGAGCACAGTGTGCGCGTCTCTGCCCGAGCATGCTGCATTAACTCCACCTCTCACAAAATGGCTCAGGAAATTTAAAGGTGCAGTACACACAACCTCCCTCCACCCAGGTCACCTAATTACCGACACCAGAGGGGCAGAGGATAGAGGGGCATCACCCGGGAAAGAAATCTGGCTTGAAGGGGGCACCATGGGCCCTGCTCACCCAGATGATGTGTAGCTGTCCCCTCACCCCATGATGACACTGCTCTTTCCTCCCTGTCTGCAGCCATCATGGAGGTTCACGAGGATTTCTTCGTGTACAAGAGTGGAGTCTATCGGCACACGCCGGTGATGGCTGGGAAGCCGGCGCACCACCGGAGACACGGCACCCACTCAGTGAAAATCACAGGGTAAGGAGGGCCTCTCGTACCATAGCAATTTTGTGTTTGCGCCTGCATGCCAGAGGTGTCGGGCAGGGTCATGTGGGTGTTTGAGAAGGTGTCGGGGAGGGAAATTGGGGCGTGGAATTAGTGGGGTGTCGAGGACGGGTCAGGCATTTGCAAGGGCCGTCGGGGCGGTGTGCGGTCGTGCGCACTGAGGCCAGAGCGAGGGGGTGTTGGTGGGAGGCTGTGGGCTGGCTGGGTGTATCAGGGGAGGTGTCACACCGAGACACTAGGCTGTTTGCTGAAGTGGCAGGGCGCTGTGTATTTGGAGTGGGGGGCCATGGTGAGTGGCATTGAACATGTGCCAGGCCGGCGCCCTCCCTGGAATGAGGAACCAAAGTACATTGGGGGGCCCTGTGGGGAGGGCAGAGGCCGGAGGAAGGATGGCAGCCAGACAGGGCCACTCCCCTCTGGAGGGAGGAGGTTGAGAGTTTTTCCTCTGGCGGTGTCCCGGGGGTGGGCAGCTCATCTCTGGGAGCCACTGGACTCTGTGGGGTGGGGGCTGCATGGCAGAACAGTCTCCCAAGAGACCCCCTGCCTGAGCCAGCCTGCCCAGTGCCCCTCCCCCCCTCCCTCCCCGCAGGCCTACAGGAGAGACAGGGCCAAAGAACCAGCCCCAGTGTGGGCCAGCGCTTGTTGTCGTAGGACAAATTGCAGCCCAGCGTTTCCAGCAGCCTGGTCCGGCCCTGGTCCCCCCCCACCCCAGGTGCCCTCTGGGCCAGTTCAAGCCAGGAGGAGAAACAAATACGTTTCCTTTGCTTTAAGAAAAACCCAGGCTGGGTTTCGTTCTCGTGAGAGCAGGAGGCTGCCAAAGCCTGGCACAGGCTGGAATAGTTGTACCAGCCTGCCCTGCCCTCTGCTCTTCCCGTCCTGGGGCCCCGCGTGCAGCTCTGCTGGTGCCCCTCAACCCCGATCCGCAGCCCCGCTGCTCTTCCACCCCTGAGCTTCTGCGCTGAGGGCAGCGCGCCAGGCTGCGGGGCTCGGTTGCAGGCCGGGTGTTGGGTTTGTGCTTAGAAGCAGCCGGGGCTGCAGCTGTGAAAAGCTGGTGCAGCCTGGGAGGCTGAGACCGGGATCCTGCCCCTATGGCAGTTAATGGCAAAAGGCCCCTTGGCCCCTCGTGGTGCAGGATCGGGGCTGGAGCGATGGTCAGAGGGGCAAGGGGTATGGAATAACTCCAGCATGCCCTGCGCCCGGGGAAGCATCCCGGGCTGTACGGACGCTGGTACCTGTGTGGTGGGTGCTGTATGCGCTGACAGCCCTGTTTTCACCTGCCTTGTTCTCACTATTACCCCGAATGATTGTCCCCTCCATTGGCACCATCCGCCCGTGTCCCCAGGATGGCACAGACGGCCCAGCTGGGAGCACGTCCCGCCCTGACTCCTGGGCCTGCCTGAGCCCTCCACTGAGTCAGTTCTAGGCGCTGCTCGTGGGAAAAGCTCCCTCGGTCTGCGAAGGCATTTTCCCTGCGGTGGAGGAAGGGAGTTCCCCTTCCTTGGGCTGGAGAGGAAGCGTGTGTGTGGGGAGAGATGAAAGGAGGGGGAAGCGGGTCCCGTGCTTTGGGCCCAGCCTGCGGTGAGTCACGCTCCGGCGCTTTGCGTCGCTCAGAGAGGAGTGGGTCGAACCCCAGGTTTGCACCGATCGAGCCGCCGGGGACGCAGAGATCAGACGAACCACACTGGAGGCCGGCTGTGCCCTCCGGAGGAGGGCGGTGTGGTCTATAGCGCCCCCTAGTGATGGGGCTCACACTGGGACACCCACTACTGCCGCTAGCTAGCTGAGCTCCCCTGCAGCCCTGCTGGGCTACTGCCTGCTGGTCAGGCACCTCCTTCTGGGGAAGGCAGCGGCAAATGGGATGGGTTCGGGCTGGGGAGCAGGCTGGGGAGAGGACAGCAGCCCAGCATGGCCGGGAGGCGGGGATGCAGCCGGCTCAGACTGTCCGATACCAGGCGGGGTGAGCAGTGGGGGCGGAGGGGTTGGAGCAGGGGTGAGGGGCTGGCATGAAGGAGGGTAGCATGGGGGTCAAGAGAGGGCAGTATTTAAAGTTTATGCTGCAGGAGCACTGAGGTGAGATCTGAGCCCCGTTGTGCCAGGCGCAGCTGGAGGGGGAGCCGGTCCAAGCGGACAAAGGAAGGATTATGCCCCCATTTCACAGGTGGGGAACCGAGGCTCTGAGAGACTAAGGGACATGTCCAAGGTCGCACAGGGAGTCTGTAGCATCAAACCCTTAGCCGCAGACCTTCCAGGGAGGATTGTTAAGCTGTGCAACAGGCGCCCCAGGGACATGCAGAACAAGACTGGGCTGAGCCCTGGGGACAGTGGAATGTCCTGTTTCTAGCAGGGTTTGATCCCGCTCAGCAGGTAGAGCCAAGAATAGCATGTCAGCCTCCGCCACGCGCTTGGGGCGCTGCCAGGCAGACACGAAGGACACAAGCCTGCTGTGTTTCCACCTCTGGGTATCTGCCCTGGCTTGCCGGCTTCCTGGGCCCGCAAGCCGCTTGGCTCGGGTTTGGGCTGACGTGCTGCTGCCATGGGGTGACTTGGCCCCTGGCACCGGGGAGCTTGGAATGAGCTCTTGGAAATGTTCCAAGTCCCTTTCCCGCCGGGTCTGCCCGTATCTGGCTGGTTTCTTGCAGGTAGGCCAGGCAGCGGGGCCAAACGGTTGCAGAGTGTGGGCCGATAGCCACGCCCCTACAGCCACAGTTAGACCCCTCAACCAAAGCAAATCTGGTTCCTGCAGCTCCTGCAGCACCCTGGAACTCAGCTCCTGCCCGAGCAGGATAAAGGCAACTGCACCTGTATATTCTGGCCCAGCTGCAGTGCCAAAGGGGCATGAGAGACCCAAGGTGGAGAGGGTTAATGCAGCCACCTTTCCTCTTTGGAGTGGACAGAGTGAAGGATAAATGAACGGCGTCTCTAGTACCTGTATCAGCTAGGCCAGGGCCAGCAATGGGGGCTGCAGATAAGGTGCATTGGTGCACTTGGCTGCAGGACTGGAGTAGCAGGAAGGCTGTGGGTTGCGGTTGGAGGGGGTGTGAGCCTGGGGCTTGGATAGTAATGGGGTGGGCTGTGGGTTGGGCGTGAGGGGCACCGGCAGAGCTGTGCGGGGCCCAGGACTGGAGCAGCAGGGGCAGGGGGC